AAACTTCTTTAGACTCCTTTGCTACAAATTCGTAAAAAGTGGAGAAATCACATAGTTAATTTCAAAATTCGAATTCTATTAAAAAACATTAATTTTTTGGCGACTATTATTTTTAAAATTTAAGTTGTCAAAACGACGATTTTGAAATTTAAATAAATTTTATAATGATCAAATTTAAGCATTTCTGTAAAACAAAAACAAGAGTTCAACATGTCCTATTATACCCAAAATTATAACTAAAATTTTTGATGCATTTTTAAACATAACATTTAAATATCGAATCAAGGTATATTATATATATTTTTTATTTATTAATAGTCCATAATTGGTGACCCCAAAGTATAAGTATTAGAAAAATGACTAAAACGAACCCAATAATACACTTCTCTTCTCTAGCTTTGTTATCTTATTATAAGATAACAGAGCAAGCTTATCCGGTAACAGAATTTTTGTTATTAATATATTTTTTCAAAGAAAAGTCACTGGAAAATAGTTATGAAGAATCTGCAATCATTATGTCATTGTCAACGTTGTTGCAAATGATCAAATGATTTATGAATAATAACATTGATTATATCTTGTATATATATATATATATATATATATATATATATTATATATCATATATCGTATATTGTATTTATAATGTGATATGCAAATACTGGATTCCCCATAAAACTCGTTTCTGAGAAACTTCTTTTTAATGTAATGACGTACTCGCTAAGTGGCCGACGATAATTTTCGAAAATTTATATACAAACATTAAATATTAAATGTTAAAAAACGTAAACTTCTTATAATAAAAATCCCAATACAATTGTAAACATGTAATAATGCATTTTTGCAAATTTAGGCTTCCAATTCGAGATATCATCAAAAATTTCCCAGTTTTTCACTTATGCAACTAGCCAACGGTCAAAATTCCTACTACGTATATTTCTAATATTACTTTCAATTTATAACATGACATAATATATATTTGTAATAATAATGATTGTAGATTCTTCATAACTATTTTCTAGTGACTTGTCCAGAATTTTTCTTTGCAAAAATAAATTAATAACAAAAATGTTGTGTTTTGTTAAGCTTGCTCTGTTATATTATAATAAGATAAGAGAGCCAGTATAAAAAAGCGGATTATTGGGAGTTTTTTTAATATTGGGGTCACCAATTATGGACTATTAATAAATAAAAAAAAAATAAAACACTTTGATTCGATATTTAAATATTCCGTAATTTATATAACTGATAACAAGCAAGCAAGAAACTTTTATCATAATGACTCCAATATCAATAGTTGATGTCAAATGTCAAGAAACTTGACATAATTTATAATAGTTTTCTTTACGAACGCACAAATATTTATACGAATTTTATTTTATTATTTCCAGGATGTTTGCTGATAAATTTGGTGCTGTTTTGGCTTTGGCTTCAATTTTGGTGGCTACGACACAAGGACAATCTTTAGATGACCTTATTAACCAAGTAAGATAAAAGATAATGTAAAACCAATTTTGGCAATTGATGGTAAAAGATTGCTGAACTTTATTCACAAAAAATCCTGAAAAATCGATCTTTTTTAATGATCCTGGAAAATTTATTAATTTAGAAATCTATTTTTTGGATAGAGTCTAGGAAAATTGATTGAACCAGGAATTTATTTATATAATTTGTTCTGGGGTGTATAAAACAGTTTATATGTAATTTTAGAAAATTTTATCTAGTTTCTGCTAAGCTAACTAAAATAGAGTGTCCTGAACATTTTTTTCGAGTTATTTAAAGAAATGTAAAAAAATGTCCGGTAAACATGTTTGGACAACTTAGAGCAAAAATATACACGAGTTTACATTGGATTTATTTTTAAAAAATCTAAAAGGCTATATGGAACTATTTCTAAAATAATGAAGTAAATTTTATCCTGTTTCTTTTAAACTAAATAATGAAGAGTGCAAAACAATTTTTTTGAGTTAATTAAAAATACTTAAAGAAGTGTCCCGAGTCTTTATAAGATAAACTTAGGGCAATAAGTAAAAGGATTTATTTATAAAATACTATATTAAACCATTTAAAGGGGAATGTTAAATATTTTATCAAGTTTCTGCTAAGCTAATATATTTTTTTTAATTAATAAAGAGGCTTTTTATGAATATCCATAGTATTTTATGAAATTCCGAGGTTTTATATTTATACTAGCTCTACTTGTGTTAAAATTAGAGTTGTTGTAATTTTGACCAAAGTTTTGGATGAATATCAAGATTTAACTATGAGAATAATTTAGAGATGACTGTACTTATAATAATTGGTAATTGATAATAAAAGATTGCTGAACCTTATTCAAATCCTGAAAAATCGATCGATTTTTATGATCCTGGAAAATTTATTAATTTAGCTCCTGTTTGTGTTTCATTCAAATGTTGTCCAAAACATTTTAAAAAAAAATCTTTAGGATTTATTAACTTTTTGGGTATCCTTATTTTGTTCTTAAATCCAGCAATAGATATTCTTGTTTCCATATAAAGTTACCAAAATTTGGTTGAGAAAAATCTTTGATCTTCATTTTTTACCTCTTGCACAAAGTTTTGGCGTTTTAATAACTTCATCTTACAATTGTCCTTATCCTTCATCAAACACTCCTGTTTCCATATAAAGTTACCAAAATTTAGTTAGGGAAAATCTTTGGTCTTAAATATATTTTTCAAAATCTTGTTAATAAAATCATAAAAATTTCAATTTGCCAAATTTCTTGATTTAATTTAATTTGCAAAATAATTACCTGGTCAGTGAAGTCATTTTGCTAAATTCTTTGCTCGTCAGAAGTGTCCTTTTTTAATATGAATTAAGTTTCACTTTGCTCGTTCTAGAGTCCTTTCTTTTATAAACTTTGCTTGTCAGTGGAGTCCTTTTTTATCATCCAATGTGCAAAAAAACTAGCTCGTCAGTAGAGTCCTTTCTTTTAAATACTTTGCTCGTCAGTAGAGACATTATTTTAAATGCCTTGCTCGTCAGTAGAGTCTTTTTTTTATAAATACGAGTTAAATTTCATTTTGCTTGTCAGCAGAGTCCTCTTTTTAAATGCTTTGTTCGTCAGTAGAGTCCTTTTTTATTGTCTAATTTGTAAAATATCTAGCTGGTCAGTGGAGTCCCTCTTTTTAAATCCTTTGCTCGTCAATAGAGTCCTTTCTTTACTTGATTCGTCAGTAGAGTCCTTTTTTTATAAATACGAGTTAAATTTCATTTTGCTTGTCAGCAGAGTCCTCTTTTTAAATGCTTTGTTCGTCAGTAGAGTCCTTTTTTATTGTCTAATTTGTAAAATATCTAGCTGGTCAGTGGAGTCCCTCTTTTTACATGCTTTGCTCGTCAATAGGGTCCTTTCTTTACTTGATTCGTCAGTAGAGTCCTTTTTATGAATATGAGTTAAATTTCATTTTGCTTGTCAGCAGAGTCCTCTTTTTAAATGCTTTGTTCGTCAGTAGAGTCCTTTTTTATTGTCTAATTTGTAAAATATCTAGCTGGTCAGTGGAGTCCCTCTTTTTACATGCTTTGCTCGTCAATAGGGTCCTTTCTTTACTTGATTCGTCAGTAGAGTCCTTTTTATGAATATGAGTTAAATTTCATTTTGCTTGTCAGCAGAGTCCTCTTTTTAAATGCTTTGCTCGTCAGTAGAGTCCTTTTTTATCAAACATTTTGTTAAAATAACTAGCTGGTCAGTAGAGCCCTCTTTGTAAATACTTTGCTCGTCAATAGAGTCATTTTTTAAAATACTTTGCTCGTCAGTAGAGTCCTTTTTTGAAATACGAGTTAATTTTCACTTTGCTCGTCAGTAGAGTCCTTTTTTATCATTCAGTTTACAAAATAACTAGCTGGTCAATAGAGTTTTTTCTTTTGAATACTTTACTCGTCAGTAGAGTCATTTTTTAAAATACTTTGCTCGCCAGTAGAGTCATTTTTTTAATTACTTTGCTCGTCAGTAGAGTCCTTTTTTCAAAAACGAGTTAAATTTCATTTGCTCGTTAGTAGAGTCCTTTTATCATCTTCTTGGTGACTTTGTATTTCCTAATTCTCTTAAAAATCCAGCAACAGACATTTCTGTTTTCACTTAAAGTTACCAAATTTTGGTTGGGACTTCTATTATTCAAATCTATCAGATCATCAACCAATTTGTGGGTTAGTAGAGTCCTTTTTTCATCTTCTTGATGACTTTGTATTTCCTAATTCTCTTAAAAAATCCAGCAACAGACATTTCTGTTTTCATATAAAGTTACCAAATTTTGTTTGTACTTCTATTATTCAGATGTACCAAAATATTAATCAATTTGTAGGTTTCTGCAAGTATTGCTTGTCAGTAGAGTCCCTTAAGTTCTTGTCCAAATTCAATTTGCTAGTCAGTAGAGTTTCTAGAAAAGTTTCCAAATCTAATTTTAATTTGTTCGGTTAGTAATAAAAGCACCTTTTATTAATATTTTGCGAGTTCGTTTTCTATCAACATTTTCATCGAGTTTGAATTTATTTTGCTCGCCAGTAGAGTCCCCTTTCTTAGATCTAATTTTAATTTGCTTATCGGTAGAGTCTCTTTTTATAAATGTTTACTATGTTCTTTAATTTGCTCCCCAGTAGAGTCCTTTATCAATATTTTTACCGCGTCTATGTGTAATTTGATTTTTTTTTTAAAGTTTAGTCTAGACTTCAATTTGCTTGTCAGTAGAGTCCCTTTATTTCTTGTCCAAATTTAATTTGCTAGTCAGTTGTCATCTACAAATTATTCTCTTAATCCAATCTTGACATCCATCCAAAACTTGATAAATATTACAACAACTTGACCAGACCTATTTTTGTTCCCAATTACAAATTTAATTCTAAATATTCTGAAATTAACCTTGTTTTGTTTCGTGCACCTTCACGGCCTATTGATCACGATCATCAATCGCATACTAAAATTGCAAAACGAATATAAAATTAATTAGTACACATAAATAATGAATACTGGGCCAATTAGCCTTCTCCACAAACAAACCTTTTTTACTACACCAGCTTTTTTTAATTTTAAACTCAGTTTGCTCGTCAGTAGAGTCCTTTTTTTATTTTAAATTCAGTTTGCTAGTCAGTAGAGTCCTTTTAGCATTTCTAAATTTACTTTGCTTGTCAGTAGAGTCCATTTTTGTTTTTAAATTCAGTTTGCTCGTCAGTAGAGTCCTTTTTTAATTTTAAATTTAGTTTGCTCGTCAGTAGAGTCCTTTTAGCATTTCTAAATTTACTTTGCTCGTCAGTAGAGTCCTTTTTGTTTTTAAATTCAGTTTGCTCGTCAGTAGAGTCCTTTTATCATTTCTAAATTTACTTTGCTTGTCAGTAGAGTCCTTTTTTGATTTTAAATTTAGTTTGCTCGTCAGTAGAATCCTTTTAGCATTTCTAAATTCAGTTTGCTCGTCAGTAGAGTCCTTTTATCATTTCTAAATTTAGTTTGCTTGTCAGTAGAGTCCTTTTTTGTTTTTAAATTTAGTTTGCTCGTCAGTAGAGTCCTTTTTTGTTTTTAAATTCAGTTTGCTCGTCAGTAGAGTCCTTTTTTGATTTTGAAATTCAGTTTACTCGTCAGTAGAGTCCTTTTTTATTTTTAAATTAGTAAATAATAATGATTGGATTTATCAATGCCTTTTATCTTTTAGGTCTTCAATAACAATTCTGGCCCAACTGACAAAACAGGAGGCACTCAAATTGGAGGCGGTCTTATTACAGCTCCCAACAATGGAGGTGGAGGCGGAGGAGTTCAGCCTAATAATAATTTTGGACAAATAACTGGAGGAGGTGGAGGACAACTCGGTAAGTACCCATAGTAACAAATTCTGTGACTGGTATTGGATAAAGGACAAGGAATGTCTGCAATTGTTGAACAATTTAAGGGGCAAGAATTCTGTTATCATAAGATTTTTCACGGCAAATTGATATACATTGTCACAGTTTCACAGTAAGAAAAAAGCGTAATAGCCTTGCCATCACAATGCTATTTTATGAGGCAGAATTGCCAGGTAAAGATTCTTGTCACCATAGATATTAAGTAGTATCAGATCATCAATCAATTTGTGGCCTTCTGTAAATATTGCTTGTCAGTAGAGTCCCTTTTTTGGTACTTCTTGCGTCAAACTACAATCATCTCCAAATTATTCTCTTACAATTAGTCCAATCTTGATATTCATCCAAAACTTGGTCAATCTTGACAAAACAATTGCCTTTGAGGAGAAAAATATGTTACATCTTTTTTTATTTTCCATGAAATTTTTTTGTAATTTTGGATTAACAATTCAAAGAATGCCGCCAAGCTAAGCACAGTATAAGTGAAAATGTCGCACAGAATTATTTGCAAATGCGTTTAGACTGTGACTATACGGGAGCACTTTTTCAATTTTGTGTAAATTAAGCAACTTAGGTATTTTTTTGAAATTGAATTCGAAATGAAATGACGATTGTTAATGTTCCGGAGATAAATTGATTCATGATTTATTATTTACATTTGATTTGCTCAGATATAACAATAAGATAGCAAAAATAATGAAAGTTACAGTATTTGTAATAATGTATTTGAATTTTTCGAATATTTCATTACGGTACGGAAAGTTTCAGCAATTTTCCTTAAGGCACGATGCCATACACCATTAGTTTTATTTATTATTGACCAGATGTGTTTTTGTTCTTAATTACAAATTTATTGACTATTGACCAGACCAGATTCAGATTTCAATTTCTCTAATACAGATATGTAATTTATAACCTTGCTCTCATATTCCATTCTGTTTCTTGTTGTCTTTGTTTGAAAAAAAAAATAGATTCTTTATTATCAGACAAAAAGTTAGACATAAATTGTAGATAGATCTATGAGCCGGTTTTGCCTCACAACATACCAATGTTATGGCAAGGCCATAACAAGACCATTCTGATACTGAATTAATTAATTCCAGTATTTTGATGTTTTTATAGATAATCCTAATCAAGGAGGCAATATAGACATCGCTGGAGGCGGTGGAGGCACTTGCAATGGTGAATGTGTTCCTTACTACTTGTGCAGTGCTAATAATTCAGTCATCACAGACGGTGTTGGATTAATCGATATAAGGTATTAAAAATACTTTAAAATATTATTAAATCATATCTGCATCTTGATCTTGATTTGTCTTAGTCTTATTCAACCTTTGCTATCATCGTTTTATTATTAACCACTACCTCATCTTCATCAAACTAACCCACCAAACCCATCATATCATTACAGGATTTTAAATTATCTACGATTTGGTCATCTGAGATCAAGGTAAGTCTTCATACCTCATCCATCATTCAGGCATCATTAAACTGCAAAAAAGTTTAATTTACCTCATTTATCTATCAGTAGCCAATTTTAGACAATTTTAGCAATTTATTTATCTCTATTTTCCATTTAGAATCCAGGGTCCATGTGAAAGTTACCTCGATGTCTGCTGTGGGGCAACCGAAAAAGTTGAAGAACAATAACTCCTGCACCACCACGTCCTGGTACACCACAAAAACATCCTCCTGGCTGCGGATACAGGAATCCTGAGGGGGTTGGATTCAGGATTGTCGGTAAGAAAAAGAGACTTGCTCCAAAATAGATCTAATTTTGTAATAATGGACAAGGAATGTCTGCAATTGTTGACCAATTTAATTTTCATACCAGTTAATAAGTTTATTTGGAAGAAACTTACCAACAAATCAATTTTCCTAGACTTTATCCAAAAAAAAAATAGATCTGTATAATTGGTAATTTTCCACCCAATATATTTTTACCCCAGACTTGTGTATCGTTGGTCAATGTCTTTTAGTTCAATTTTTTTCTACATATATCCAAAACCAATTGGATTTACCACACAAGATGTTTTACTAGTTATTTAATATCTGTTTATTACTATTATTTCTTAGGTGACAAAGAAGGTGAATCTCAGTTCGGCGAATTCCCATGGATGGTAGCAGTTTTAAGAGAAGAAGCCATTGATGGTAAAGCTGAAAGGATCAACGTTTACCAATGTGGTGGATCTTTGATACATCCTCAGGTAATTAGAATAAATCATATTATTGAAAGAAAAAAAGAGACCTCTTGTTGTTATACTTTCCGTCTAATAAATTCTTGGACAATGAGTAAGGGCAAGTGTTTAAATTACTTACAAGTAAGTCTTAAATTACTACAGTTAGGTTCGAGCTGTCAATTATTCCAAAAATAATAGTTCTGATTTCTATTTGCTCGTCGGTAGAATCCTTTTTTATCAACATTTTTATCCCGTTTATGTGTATATTGATCGTTAGTAAAGTCGCTCTTTTCATAAAATTTAGTCTAGACTTCAATTTGCTTGTCAGTAGAGTCCCTTTATTTCTTGTCCAAATTCAATTTGCTAGTCAGCAGAGTTTTTAGAAGAGTTTCAAAATCTTCTAGAGTCAGTAGAGTCCTTTTATTAATATTTTGCGAGTTCGTTTTATATCAACATTTTTATAGAGTTGGAATTTATTTTGCTTGTCAGTAGAGTCCCTTTTTCTAAATCTCACTTTTATTTGCTTGTCAGTAGAGTCTCTTTTTATAAAAGTTTATTATGTTCTTTAATTTGCTCGCAGGTAAAGTCCTTTTGTCTATAATTATTTTCTTCATGTCTTTTTTTTAAGTTTACTCTAGACTTCAATTTGTTCGTCAGTAGTGTTTCTTTATTTTTTCCCCAATTTAATTTGCTCAGTAGAGTCAGTAAAGTTTCAAAATCCAATTTCAATGTGCTCGGTCAGTCAAGTCTTTTTAGTGAATGTTTTATTAATATTTTTCGCATGTTTTTTTTTTCTATTAATGTTTGAATATATTTTTCGTATCAGTAGAGTCCCTTTTTCTGAATCTCATTTTAATTTGCTCGTCAGTAGAGTTTCTTTTTTTATTGACATTCTCAATTGCTCGTCAGTAGAGTTCCTTTTTGTATTAAAATTCTTATTTGCTCGTCAGTAGAGTCCCTTTTTGACTTAAATTTTTAATTTGACATTTGCTTTTTCTATTGACATTTTAATATGCTCGTCAGTAAAGTCCTTTTTTCTATTAAAATTTTTATTTGGTCGTCAGTAGAGTCCCTTTTTGTATTAGAATTCTTATTTGCTCGTCAGTAGAGTCCCTTTTTGACTTAAATTTTTAATTTGACATTTGCTTTTTCTATTGACATTTTAATATGCTCGTCAGTAAAGTCCTTTTTTCTATTAAAATTTTTATTTGGTCGTCAGTAGAGTCCCTTTTTGTATTAGAATTCTTATTTGCTCGTCAGTAGAGTCCCTTTTTGACTTAAATTTTTAATTTGACATTTGCTTTTTCTATTGACATTTTAATATGCTCGTCAGTAAAGTCCTTTTTTCTATTAAAATTTTTATTTGGTCGTCAGTAGAGTCCCTTTTTGTATTAGAATTCTTATTTGCTTGTCAGTAAAGTCGCTTTTTGACTTAAAATTTTAATTTTCTCGTCAGTAGAGTCCCTTTTTGACTTAAAATTTTTATTTGGTCGTGAGTAGAGTCCCTTTTTGTATTGGCATTTCTATTTACTCTTAAATAAAGTCCTTTTATGTATTGGCATTTTTATTTGCTCGTCAGTAGAGTCCCTTTTTTATTTTCAAGATCTGAATTTAAATTTGCTCGTCAGTAGAGTCCTTTTATTTCTTGTCAAAATTTATTTGCTCAGTAGAATCTTTTTTTATAAAGCTTAGTCTAATTTTTAGTTTGCTTTAAACGTCTTTTTTATATTACTCTCAAATTTAAGTTCATTTTGCTCGTCAGTAGAATCCCTTTTTTATCTCAATGTATTTATTTTATATTTTCCTCATGTCATGTGCAGCAAGTTATCAACTACCTTCATATATTATCAAATTATTAACTATAGTTACTTCCACTCTATAGACCAATATAAATCTTTTTGAACTTCTACCATCAAAACTAGTGGTGTATGGCATCGTGCCTTAAGGCAAATTGCTGGAACTTTCCGTATCGTAACGAAATGTTCGAGAAATATTGAAATTGAAATCTGAGTTATTTTCGATAAACAAAACTTTTTTTTTGAACAAAACTATTTTTTTGAAATAATTTTTCTTCCAACTTCAATTACCATCATCAAACGTAATTATTTTTCTTAAATAACGTAAAAAATCCATTATAATTTACAGACGCTTCTCAAGAACGAATAAAAGATTCTCCTTACATTTTGATAATTAGAAACTACATGACTGCGATAAATTTTAAACTAGCTGTAAGTGGAATTCTGTCTTAAGGCAATTAAGGCATCGTGCCTTAAGGCAAATTGCTGGAACTTCCCGTGCCAAAATTATTATTTTTTTAAAACGATTAACATTTTTGAAAAAATTTCACTTCGAAAAAATAAGATTTTTTAGAAATTTTAAATCGGACAAAAAATTACTTTTTTTTGAAAAAAAAATTTTTTTTAAAAAAAATTTTTAAACAATTTTTTTTATAAAAATTTTTTTTTGGAAAAAATGTTATCTTTATTTTGATATATTTTGAAGATCTGAACTTTTTTTCAAAGCAATCATACTGCTTTAACCTGCATAGAGACAAATATAAAGCGCGTAAGCGCCGCGTCGCTGTCTAACGGAAAAACAATGGTACGGAACCCATAGGAATGTAAACAAAACTTATACTTATTGTTAAAATCTCAATAAATATCTGATAATTTGATATGCATATGTCTAATGTCTAATGATTATTGTTGACCGCCAAATTATTTTTTTTTAGTTTTTTTTACTAGATCTCCGAAACCGCTAGACCTATCTTCATGAAAATTTGATCAAATCTTCATCTTGTTAATACAAGTAAAATGTTTTTTGAACTATACAAATCGGACGCTCCGTTCTCTTAAAAACTGAGTTACCGTTTTTGGCCCTTTTTGCCCCATATCTTCGGAACGGCTAGAATGTTTTTTGAATTATTCAAATTGCTTCATCCGCGTTCCCGAAATCGTCGACGAAAATTTGTATCCGAACACACACACATGCACGCACACACACACACACATACATCAATTTTCTCCAACCTCTGAAACGTGAAGATATATAAAAATTTTCATTTTCGATTTTTGTGCGATTACTATAACTTTACCCTACGGAAAGTTAATTATAAAAAATCATTTATCATCTCCAAATTTCCACAAAATTGAAAAAGTGCTCCCGCATAGTCACAGTCTAAACGCATTTGCAAATAATTCTGTGCGACATTTTCACTTATACTGTGCTCAGCTTGGCGGCATTTTCACATTTTTCAATAATTTTCACAAAATTGGAAAAGTGCTCGTGTCCACACAAACAGTCTAAACGCACTTGGGTAAACATTTGTACCAGAGTGGCGCTTAGACTGTGCTTAGCTTGGGTGATTTTTTGAATTTTTAAATCCAAAATTACAAAAAAAATTTTTTGAAAAAAAATTAGAAACAAAAAATTTTTTTTTCCAAAATCAATTATTTTGTTGAAAAAAGCAGAAAGTTCTTTGAATCATTTAAATCGGACGCTTAGTTCTCTCAAAAACAGCCATTTATTTTAAATTTAGCTCTGTATCTCCGAAACCTATGGGCCTACATTTGCCAAAAACTAATCAGCACATCTCCCTATCAATAGGAATCGAATGTTTTTTTAAACCATTCAAATCGTTTGATCCGTGCGCCCGAAAACGTGGACGAAAAAAAACGGACATACAAAACACACACACACACACACACACACACACATCCATTTTTTCTGAAGTATGCCAAAATGTTCAGAAACCTTCAAAACGTCGAGAAATGTAAAAATTTTTGATTTCGATTTTTGGACGATTACTATAACTTACCCTACGGGAAGTTAATAAAGTAGTATGTGTTGGTTCACATATATAACCTTTTATTAACTTCCCGTAGGGTAAGTTTATAGTAATCGTCCAAAAATCGGAATTGAAAATTTTTACATTTCTCGACGTTTTGAAGGTTCTGAACATTTTGGCATACTTCAGAAAAAATGGATGTGTGTGTGCGTGTGTGTGTTTTGTATGTCCGCGTTTTTTTCGTCCACGTTTTCGGGCGCACGGATCAACCGATTTGAATGGTTTAAAAAACATTCGATTCCTATTGATAGGGAGATGTGCTGATTAGTTTTTGGCAAAGGTAGGCCCAGAGTTTCGGAGATACAGAGCTAAATTTAAAAAAAATTGCTGTTTTTGAGAGAACTAAGCGTCCGATTTAAATGATTCAAAGAACTTTCTGCTTTTTTCAACAAAATAATTGATTTTGGAAAAAAAATTTTTGTTTCTAATTTTTTTTTTCAAAAAATTTTTTTTGTAATTTTGGATTAAAAATTCAAAAATCACCCAAGCTAAGCACAGTCTAAGCGCCACTCTGGTACAAATGTTTACCCAAGTGCGTTTAGACTGTTTGTGTACTGGAGCACTTTTCCAATTTTGCGAAAATTATTGAAAAATGTGAAAATGCCGCCAAGCTGAGCACAGTATAAATGAAAATGTCGTACAGAATTATTTGCAAATGCGTTTAGACTGTGACTATGCGGGAGCACTTTTTCAATTTTGTGTAAATTTGGCAACTATTTTATTTTTTTAAATTTGATTCGAAATGAAATGACGATTGTTAATGTTCTGGAGATGATAAATTGATTTATTTATAATTAATTTTCCATAGGGTAAGTAATCGCAAAAAAATCGAAAATGAAAATTTTTATATATCTTCACGTTTCAGAGGTTTCTGAATATGTTGGCATACCTTGGAGAAAATTGATGTATGTGTGTGTGTGTGTGCGTGCATGTGTGTGTGTTCGGATACAAATTTTCGTCGACGATTTCGGGAACACGGATGAAGCAATTTGAATAATTCAAAAAACATTCTAGCCGTTCCGGAGATACGGGGCAAAGTGCAAAAACGTAACTCAGTTTTTAAGAGACCGGAGCGTCCGATTTGTATAGTTCAAAAAACATTTTACTTGTATTAACAAGATGAAGATTTGATCAAATTTTTCATGAAGATAGGTCTAGCGGTTTCGGAGATCTAGTAAAA